TCTCTATCTCTCTCTCTTTCTCTTTCCACATAGATAGGAACTGAACCCAGGAAATAGAATAGCTCCAGATGCACATAGTCAATTACATGCCCTTGCAGAACTACCACTGTCTGCATGCGTCTGAATTTCTATCGCTCCATTGTCTCTCTTTGCATTTGCAGGCTTGTACGCGTACACGGGAACCATACGGCTTTGTTTCCCGTTTGCTATTTATGTGTTCATCTCATAATTGATTTGATATGTGCATGTCTGTCTGACTACCCCTGCCTGTTGCTCCATTCATGTGTGTCCGCGAAACAGAGACAGAGTGTGTTCTGAACCCGCTTTTGCGTGGCTCGGAGTGGCAATCACAAGCATGGCTTTGAGGCTGCTTAATGATGTTGGACAGCTTCTCGAAGCGGTAGCTGTCCTGATGCGTGCAAAGGTTACCAGGCGAGCGCATCCCTGGTATCCCTGCAACCATGCGAAAACCTGCAAGAGGCCCAGAAGCAAAAATCTCGCTGATGCCATGCAGACTCGTGAAATTCCACTAGTGTCGCTTGTGAAGAAGGGCCCAGCATCGAACAATGAGAGAACGATCAGTGAACTATGACAGGGAACCTTTCATAGCTGCCAGAGCTATGAAAACTTGAACTCGTGTCTGCGGGACAGCGTTGAATGTCGGGCAACTTCGGTCTTCCGGACTCTTGCAGACGTTGCAGTCTTCCCAGCCCCAATCCTGGATGGACTTGGTCAGCGCATGCGAAATGACGAGGAAGGTGTTCTTCTCGAAAATCACGATCTGGTCGAATTTTGCAGACGAGTCCCAGAAGTCGGGGGACAAGCCTCACATAAGCTTTCAGCGTGCAGGCGCCTCGTCAGCTTGCAAGACCTGACACATGAAGTCCAGGTGATCCCTCGGTTTTCAATGCCTCTGCATCTTCCACTGCGACCAGCACGCCCCAAGACAAATCTGAGCTGACGACTGCAAGATCTGTGGATCCGGAACGAGCACTGCCACAATCCTGGCAGGCTGCGTCGCATATTTTGTAGAACACAACAGGTCTCGGCACATCCCACTCAACTTGGCTTTCGCTTGAATGCCAAAGCTAATCAGGAAGTCTCCTGGCTGAGCCGTCAGTGCAGGATGCCACAGCGGCTTTGCAACCCTTCGGCACCCTGAAGCCCCCCTGCCCCCCCTGCCCCCGAACGGCGGGTCTTTGTCCAGGCTTTGAAAAGCGTGTCATCCTCAGTGGCTGCTCTTGACCGGTTGAGGGCGGCCGAGATGCACCCCTGAGTTCCAGGGTCGCGGCCCAGATCGATGTCGGCAGGCATGTCTCAGCACACAAGGCCAGTAGAATGAACTGGGACGACTGCACACGCTATGGACTGCGAAAATACGAAAGGCCACATGCGAACAAAGATCGAAAGTCACTCAGGATGCCCTGTCTCTGCATGTGTGCAGCCCAAGAGCCAAGTTTCGGTTCGGGGCCAGGTTTAGCAGCTCCTTTTGGGCATACTGTTTGGTGTGCCTTGCATCTACGGAAGCTGCCTGAGAACGAGCCAGTCAGATTGCTCTATGACACGAATCCTTTAGAAAACAGCTCCTTCTCGTACTGCTTAAAGACCTCCATGCGCTTGCTTTCGTGCAGGAGATCCAACCTCAGGTCAGTGTGGCTGGCATGCAATGGCAGGAAACGGAACGGGGACGTGCTGCGACCACAGCATGAGCACCAGCACTGTAGCGACGACGACGACGACGAGACCCACCACCACTACCACTGTCATCGCCACAACGACAAAAACAACCACCACAAACAACAACCGCGACGACGACGACTCCAAACAACCGCGACGACGACGACTCCAAACAACCGCGACGAGGACGACGACTCCAAACAACCGCGACGAGGACGACGACTTCAACTCCCATCTCATCCACAAACACGCTGTGACAACACAAACAAAAGGACAGCAGCGACGACGACGACGACGGCCGCCACCGCCACGCCAGCGCCACAGGAGCAGCAGCAGCACCGCCACCAACAACAAACACAACCACCACCACCGCAACAACCACCACCACCACCACCACCAGCACCACCACCATCAGCACCACCACCACCACAAAAACCACCACCACCACCGCCACCACCACCACAGAAACCACCACCACAACAAACGCAACCACAACCACAACCAACAGCAACAACAACCATCACAAGCACAAGCGCAGCAACCGCAACCACGACCATAGCCACAATGACCACGACGAGAAGACTAATAAGGGGACAAGATTACAGACACAGCACACTTGCACCGTTGACAACGAAAAACGATAACGATCATGATCATACGAGCATTAGTGATTAGTGCCGACAGCGACACATCATGGCAGAACCAGAAGCAACATCGCAAAGATCGGCAGTTACGGCTGCAGCGTCGAACAGCAATTATGTGTCTGCTCAAGGCACGATTGCGCTGCAGCTGATGCAGCCTCCTGTTCTGACATCAAGGCCGTGACTTGTGGATCAAAGCGAAAGTCACAGCACTCGGGGAATGCGTGGCCAAGGAGTCCTGAAAATTTCCGCTTGATGCTTGAAGCTGACTAAAACAGCGCCATACCCGGCGCTGAGGCCGCAGCGCAAGCTGCCTTGAAGTACTCGATGTCCTGCGGTTCGCGGAAACCGAGAAGCCGAGACATGGCGAGTCGCCCGCGAGGCCCAAGAAGGCCTTCATTGGGCCTGTCTCGCTAGCAGCCGCTATGCACGCTGTTGCACCCTCCTTCTTTCTTTCGTCCACTTGGGTGTGCTGGTCTCTCACAGCCACAAGGACATAGATGAGCACCTCCGCACATGGAGAGCGTCGTTGAAAGTCTTTGGAAAGAGAGGAAATCCCGTAAAACTCCCCAGGGATGAGCGTTGCGTTTGACTCGTTCTTGCAGGCTTGGGGCTTGGGGCTACAAGACGCCTGCAGCTGCGCCAGGTCCGGCCTCGCAGTGCTGGAAGATGTTTTCACGCTGCGACTCGAAATAGTTCTCCATGAACTGGTCTTGTCCTGGTGGGATTCCTAATTTCGGGGCACCTTTCGTGCGGCGCTCCAAGCTTCAAGCCCAAACCCCGGATCCATCAACACTCCAAGCACTCCAAGGTGTTGAAGATGCCGACATCATGGACTGCAGTGGAAGCGCCCAGCGCCGTGAACAGTTTAAAGGTTTCGAGCTTCGACTGCAAGTTGCGAAGCAGTGTACGACTGAAACAGGCTTTGCAGGCTTCACGCTAAGGCAACCCCTGAAGTAGTTGGATAAGTCCGGGCCTCCGCAGTCCCAAAGGTTGAGGCGAAGGTTGCCCAAGAAACGGAGCCTTGGCACATCGCAGCACTGCAAAGATGATATATACGGCTGGATAGACCGATGGATGGATTCATGCCTGCGTGCACGCATGTGACTCTGCGTGTGCCTCTCTCTCTCTCTCTCTCTGTGTGTGTGTATGTATGTATGTATGTATGTATGTATGCATGCATGGATGTATGTATGTATGTATGTATGTATGTATGTATGTGTGTGTGTGTGTCTGTTTGTGTGTCTGTGTGTGTCTGTGTGTGTCTGTGTCTGTGTGTGTTGTTGTGTGTTTGTGTGTTTGTGTGTGTGTGTGTGTGTGTGTGTGTGTTTGTGTTTGTGTGTTTGTGTGCGTGCGTGTGTGTGCGTGTGTGTGCGTGCGTGCGCGTGCATGTGTACTTGTCTAGACTATCCGTACTTAGTTTAGAGTTTATATGCAGTTGCTTGCTTCTTTGCAAGTGTGCATGTGTGCGTATACAATTGTCTGTATTCGTGTGTATGTTTTCTCTAACTATATATATATGTATATCTCTGTATATATAC